AAGCGCTAGGTCAATTCACTCGAAGATATTGCATGATTTAGTGTTTCCTGACATCGAAATAACAATGAGCATCATTCACTACAGTTGGAGAATCAAAATAGTTCGGTTGTTTGCCCAATGGTTTGAAAAAGGATGAGGCGATGACAAAAACCAGTCAACCAATAGTGTGGATATGAGTTCCAAATTTTTGTTGAGCATTGCATTTTGAATGGCAAAAATCAACTTGGCATAGTTCTTAAAAAGACCACGATCATTAATAACTTGACGCCGTTAGCGTCAACAGTTATACTTGAAGAAAACAAGGCTAGATTTGAACCTAAAGATGAATATGTCGATAAGATTCTGACTCTTCTGCTGAGTCCTGGAACAAAGATATAGTTTGTACGGTCATTTTTTACCTACATTACAGCAGAAACCTGGAACTTAAATTTGGAAAAGTCAAAGAAATACAATAGTTTTGTTCGAATTAGATGAAGCACTTGAACTTAAACTTATAAAACAATGGCTGGTAGACAAAATCTATGTAGGACATAGCACACAAGTCCATCGACTGAAGCTGACACACTTCACAGTAGTATAATGAGAACAAGTAGGTAGAAAAAGAGTGATATCAAAGCAGATAAAGATGCTTAAAGGGAAGAGGTATTTCAAAAAACTAGGATTAGTCAAAACATCCCAGATTTAAAACATGTCAAAAAGTGAATACATCTGCACCATTGTGATCGATTTTCAGTCATGTCACCAAGTCTTCAATCATTGATTTATATCCTTTCAGGGATCCTAGTCAAGTGGTCTACATCATCCCACATGCCTCAGATAACTGTCAAATGCCTTCAGGTCAATAAATATGGCAAGTGTCGGCCGCTGGTAGGTATCCCTGTATTCCGTTCCAGGACCTGTCAAAGGGTGAAAATATGATCGATGCACCCTCATACAGTTCTGAGACTTGCCTGGTTTTATCCAGTTTGCTCTTCTCGAGCCCCAGTTAGGCGCCGGATAACTATAAATCTCAGGATCTAGGACACGACATCAGTCAAACCTATTCCCCTATCGTTGTCACAAGAAGATTTGTCACCCTACTAATAGACTGGGATGATCAAAAACGTAGACCAGTTTAATGGCACTACTTCTGGTTTTCATACACTACCTAGTACCTCCGTCACTCTTATCACCGATTTCCTACCTCCATCCTTGGAAACTTCAGATGGCAAACTGCCAGGTTTTGTTGCTTTCCATCGTTTCGGGTTCGACAGAGCTTTTTCAGCCTCAAGCAAAGTTGGAGGACCGACATATACGTCTCATTCAGGTTCAGACTGGATGTTGGGCAGTTGAAGCGTTGCTGGGGGGCCATTTGAACTGTGCTTCAAAGTGTTCTTCCTAATGTGGTGGTTTCAGCAACCATAGTCTTCTTCTTGTTGATATCCTTGATGAACCTCAACAGTTGCCGAGTGTTACCCATCAATGATGTTTTCTCCACTTTTCTCGCTTTCACCACCAAAAACTGCTCACGATCATTGCAGACTCGTGGCCAATTTACGTTTTATCTGCTTTCGCTTCTCGTTTCGGCCATATCTAGCTGCAATGAATATTCGAGCATCAATCAGTTTGGATGACGTCGTGGAAATCCAAAGACGTTTACTAACCTTTGGGTGTAGGTTACCAACTGTTTCAACTGACGTTTCCAGAGAAAACTGAATATCACATCACCCCAGGTTTCCTTAGGATAAGCATTGCTGTCATGTTCAGATAACTGCTTAGCTAACTCGTTTATAAATACGTATTTGATGTTCTCATCTTCCAACCGACCATAGACAGGCTTTACTATCGCCTGTTTCCTGAGGCCAGTAAGGTACAGACATCTACGTCTCTGTACTAGCGCGTGATCGGAGTTCAAAATGGTACTCCAGAAAGAGCGGCAATCGTCCACCGATTCTCTCCAAAGATAGCTTGTAGTGCAATGACCTATCTGTGTCCATAAATGGTTTTATGTTGACGTAAACCAAGTGAGACAGCCTGAAGTTGATATTGGTTAGAAACAAAAGATTGTCAGGGCAAACCTGGAACAGATGATTACCATTGTCTGCTCGTTGGCATGGGATCCTGCAAATACCCCCAAGGTGCCTTTCCAACTGCCTCACCTCAGCTTCCCTACTTGACCGTTAAAGTCAAATGCCATTACGACTATATCTGAACGTTTTGCTTTCCATAGCGAACTTGACAGCTTTTCATACAATTCATCTTTTGTATCATCCAAAATGCAGTCGATGAGTGTGTAAGTGGAGATTACGAATAGGGATCGGTTGGTCTAGCAACCTTTCCTAGTTCTTACAGATTCATTCAGTCGAACGGTACATAGACGGCTGTTGACTGGTATCCGGTCTAAAAGCGCACTTAATGCCTTACAGCTCAATGCCATGCATATACCAGCAAGTCAACAAGAGCTTGTCATTGGCTCTCCGGATACGCGTAAAGTTCGAAGATTCAGATGAGGTCATGTTAATAACCAGACTCACGTCCTGTACACATGTCTCAGGAACACAGCATACACCCACGGCTCCAGATTCCAGAGTTCTGGCTAGCGATACTTGCTGTCCGATCCAGTATAGGGTTCGGACGTTGAAAGCCTCAATATAAAATCGATAGCGGGTTTTGAGGAGACGAGAAACGAGGCTTTACGGCTTTGGTTGTTGACGATGGTTGAAGAGTGAGATGTTGGGGAAGTTGTAAGAGGTTTAATATTAGTATCAAAAGATGAAGCCAAGAAAGGAAACGGAGTTGAGGAGGATAGATTGTTTGGTTGGGTTTAGTGGAAGCGTGCTGGTGGTTGACTTCCCGGTTGCTTTCACCGTGGAAAGTTATTTTTTCCTAAGGAATCTGAAAGAGAAAAAGATCTGTGTAACCGTAGACCCTATAGGACATTTGCTTGAGGCCTCTCACACAGCCTTTTGAGGATTTTCGGTGTGAGATTCGACTGTTCTAATGACGGATAGAGAAAACCCATAACGCCCGCACCGAAAGACCCTCGGGCAGAGAGAGATTTATATTTTTGGAGACGACTTTTAACCGCCCTTTCTCGCCAGAAAGGCAGCATCGAAATGGCAGTGATGGTCATCCAAGTGAAACCCCTGTTGCTTTCACATTCTACCAAGCTTGCAGTACAACTTGTCCTCGGACCCCCCATTATAGCAATTTACCCTACAACGGTAACTGCTTTTCATCTTATCACTAGCCAACAGAACTTTCTGATATGGACCTCAAAGGAACAAGCGTTCCAGTAATTTTACCTAGAGGTTATTGTGACATCCAAACCCAACCACCATATCAAGTTAGCAGCTATCGGTTGGGATAAAACAGTGAGTGACTAAGGCATCTGAAATACAAATTGTTTAGGCGCGTATAGAATGAAAGAGCATTATTGATTGCATGTTTCGCAGACAATTAGCTGCTCATGGTCATACTTTGAGACTTGGTTTTGTTGTACGATACATATGGCAAACGGAGTAGGGTGGGATTATACTTAAACAAGTGCCCATGTTATAATTTCATATTGTTGTGTGCACAGTCACTATGAGCAATGGTCGGTTGTAAAGAATATACCAAAATTCATCATCGATTGAAAAAAATGAACATTTGTTTAGACTTATTCAGTAATGCCAAGTAGACACGCAAGATAAGTAAAATAATCGAATACATCTTAAAGAATAGGGATGAGACAGTCAATTTACAGCTAGTTATAATACCCTGTATGACCGAATTCTCGACAAGCGGAATGTGGCTACGACCCTTCATCTTCTAGTTGAACTAATGGACTGGGTGATGAGTAATTAATTTAATTTGTGGTGACCACATAAAAGATTAGTGGACGAAAACATACCATAGAAATAGAAAGCACAAAATGAACAAAGATAAATATTAACTGCACGACACAATAGAAGGATATCTCAATCAAATGAGTATTAGCCAGACAAAGACGGATAGTCGACACTGTATTGTCGTGGTGTCGTTTGACAAGTGACCTCTTTGCTGAAGATCCTTTAGGCAACCAGGTTTACACACATAATGGGGATTCTGTCGAATAAACACACTAATCCATTGCACATAGTTCTTGTTGGTGAAATGCGCGATGGTGATTCATGACTGGCTTGCAAGAAACGATAGTGTGAATACGAAAATACTCGTTTGGTTCCTCACTTTTGTATCAAGTTGTCCTTTAGGAAGATACTGGTGAATGATTACCATGGTTGGGTGGAGTATACATAAAGTTAGTAATTTCATGTAATATATATATAGCTATGTTCACTTTGGTTGAAGGAAATTGGCAGGAAACTCTGAACAGGTTTTGTGCTTTTTGGCACTTCTGGGCAAGGTAACATGAAACTATTTGCCCCCAGTTATCAATCAAGAGTGACTTTAAAGGCCACCCTGGCAACTGCCGAAACAACCAATCAGGTTTCTATATGTCGCCTACGACGGTAGGTTTTTTTATAAAATAAAGAAGCCTAATTGGCTATCTCCAAAGTTGTTAGGGTTGCCCTTAATGTCACTCGCAATCAATGTATTTGTCAAGTTCGAGATAAGATGTTGAAAGTTAGATCTTAAACCACACTTTATTTTCTCATCTATTGGCTATTTTTAGCATAGGTGAAATACACAAATATCTATCGACAACCGGTTGCACATCACAGCTGCTTGATGTTCTTTACATTGCAACCTTCAGTGTAATTTTATAGTTTTTTTAGACAAAATTTCTGTACCATAGGAGGACAGAAAGGTGTCCTTATGATGCAACCTAATTTATTAGTTACCCATAATATGCTATGCACTACTGCTATTGTAGGAAGTACTTCAGATCATGTAGTTGGAAAGAAGTTTGAAACAAGGACTCAGTAGTTAGAAGTTAACTACTGAAGCTGATTTAGTAACTTGACGAACAGTGTGAAAAAATGAAAACAGTACAGTACATTTTAGAACCTACCTTTTAGAAATTAAAAAAGACTCACCTGCACACTAAGAAGTGTCAAATTGGCCAAAGTATCCAAGTTTTCCAGTGCTGATATTTTATTTTACCGCAGTAAAGTTGCGTTAGCTTCGTCAACTCCTCCAAGTTTTCTAATTTTCTGATTTTGTTTGAACCAAGTTCTAGCATTTCTAGATTCCGCATACTGCTTAGATTTTCTACCTTTGATATTCGGTTGTTCACTAAAAACAGTTTCTTAACATTGCGCAGATTGTCCAAGTTTTCGATAGACTTGATCCGATTGAAGCTCAAATCGAGATTAGTCAGCTTTGTAAGACAATCTAGATTTTCAATCTAAAAGCATTCAGTTTACACATATAGACTATTTATCAGTTAACCTACTATACAATACATTCATACTTTGACCTTTTGCATGCAATTTAATTACTTGAAAACCATTTAATATTTTAAGTGCTTACTGTAAATATGACCTCTATGCATATATTAACCTTTTATAGTTGTTGTTGTGGCTAGAAATCTTAGCTGCGCAACCTGGAGTTTACCGAAACGAGGATGGATTCTTATAAAGTCAACGAAACCCGGTTGCTGATTTTCAGAACACCTAATCGATTGGACAAGTGGTTCGAGTTGTGATGTCATAAAACCACAGGTACTAGCACTATGTAAGTCACTAATAATAAATGAACTATGATACATGTTGAGACTAAAACATACTAAGGCGATCAGCTTTTTTTCATTTTGAAATCCGCTCAAATATGGAATGTTAGTAGTTTTTACCATAACTTCATACCGAAACATTTTGATGGACGAAACGCACCCGTGCAGTAGGCAATGAGCTACAACCAATACCTGGCTGCCCAAAACTAGGTAGTTGGAGCTGGGTTTGAACCCGTTGGTTGATAGTCATCACCCTAAACCATTGAGCCACAGCTCCAAAAAACGTTTTGATGCTGATGCATTACTGCAGCTGAACCTTAATACCATTAATACTACTCTTATTGACTTTAAAACAGCGCTGAAATGACATGAACACCTACATATACATCACAACAAGCAAAATAATTATAGTAAGTAAGACATAAAAGAGGGGAGTAGCAATGGTCAGAGATGAAAAAAGTCACACTAAAAGGTTTCCATTAGTTTAAAACTACTTTCCAATAATTAGAAGACTAGATAAAGAAGTTTCAGTTAATATCAACATAGGGTCTTGAGTTAGTGAGTAATTGCACAAACTGTCTTACCTTAAATCTACACATCAAGATATAAGGCAGGAAAACAGAAGAGATTATCAAAGAAGGAAATGTGGTCAAAATTCATACGAAGAGAAGAAAATGAAGTGGGGTGTAATGAAAAAGATAATGAGTGGGTGCATATGTGCCATTGAGATGGATTCCGAGTCATGGCATCTGGTCTCAAACCACCGATTTCGGATGTGATGCTGATCCCAACCGCAAAGTACAGTTTCCTAAACGGCTTAGAACAGTCAGAGATCTCGGATTGATGCTAAGTGTTAGTCTGGTTGCCCTTAGCCCCTATTTTGCTTAAACTCACTTCAACTTACATTGCACAACGGAGACGGTAGTGGTAGACTTAAGGGCTACACCTGATGGTGAGAAACACTGTCATGATAAATATCAGTTGGCGTAGTCGGATGTCACCTCTAGGTCAGGGAAAACAGCTAGTGCTGAGCACCGGTTAGTGTGTCTATGTTCAAAAGCCTGATGAAGGGTGAAGATGGGGTCTGTGCACACACGGTCAGATCTGAAACCTACTTGCTTTCTTTAGTTTGATTGTTTCCGAGCTTCACTCAGATGTATGGTTATGGTAGAACCTAGAATCTTGTCTGTCTGACTGATTCTCTTGAATTTATGACGGTAGGATTTCTTTTCTTTCCGAAGACTGGGATAATCAGTTTCTAAATAACTGTCTACTGATACCTGTCACCACTGACTTAACCAACTCTTTAGTCTTTGCACCTACAAACGACCATGATAAGTTTATAGAAACTTTGGCAGTCTACATATAAAGACTTTAAAACCATCATTAAATCATACTACGAACAATCTAACTCACTGTTTTACGAAGTTTATGATAATTCATCAAGTTTATGGCTACTTCATCGCTGTCATTATTTCCACATATAAACTGTTTTTTTTTCATTATTATTTTCGAAATACTTTAAGTATAACTTTGTTTAACTCAGCTGCCTGATGCTGACTGAAATTCTGGACTATCTGCACCATCTTCCGTCGCTTAACAATTAATTTCAAGAAACTGTGCGATATCTGACTCAACTATTCTGAAAACACATGCTGCGTTAAGGCTAGCTGAAATATGCTTGACATATGGCATCCAAGATCCGAGAGTCCATAGTTATACGACGCCTAATTGAAGCTCGATCGCAATAAAATCAGGAAAACCCAGAGACTTCAAACTTGGATTAGGGTGCATCCATAAGATTTTTACCCTTCGACAGGTTTCAGAACACAGAATAACTTACTCATGACTGACACTCACCATATTTCTCGACCTAAAGGTGGGATTCGACTCTCAACAGAGGTGTCGTCGCAGTATCTGATTGTGAAGTCAGTACCGAGCAGGTATGTAATTCTAGTCAAAACACTCCACTTGAACACACGCAGCTGCGTAAGGGCTTAAGCTGAGTAATCGTTTAGAGTGATGACAACCGGTGTTGGCTTCTAGGGATGTCCAATGTCACCCTTTCTGTTGACCTTGGCTACAAATATGGTAGTGAATGTAACGAGTATTTAAGTCGTGCCAAACCAATACCTGCGGTTAGTCACTTTGGCTTTAAAAAAACGAGTATTTTGTGATGACCACAAGAGAATAAAATTGACCTTCATAGTTCCAAGATAGTGTTTATAATCAACTGACACCTAGGTGACGCTTAAAATAGCGAACCGAAAAATTCAGACGTCTCACGGAAACATGATTAGTTAAACCTTTCATTATTTCTTGGAATGTATATGTAATTACTAGTACCTGATACTTAATCAAGCACTTGAACTCAAGGCATTTGACTTCGTAGATCAAGAGGCTGTGATAAAAATGATGCAGTGAAGTTCTTGATTATGAAGATAACGGCACAAGATATTTTCATCAGGAATATTCGACTAACTGATGATCATCTTCTTCATACGTACTATGCTATTTGAAACCAGTCAATTATCTTCAAAATGCTATAAAGCAATGATTCACTTACATGACTGCTTTGGAGAATTTTTGTTTCCCAATACTTGTTTTGATACCTATTTTCAATAGTATATATTTTGATCCATTAGTCTCCAGTGAACCAAATATATCTTTACTAGATTTATAACTAGTTATTTGAATTTAAAAATGTATACATATATACAAGATGGGAGGAAAACTGTTGTAATCCCCAATCTAACAGCATCGTTACCCAGATTAGATGACAGTCAAAAAATTGTCAGCACGCTAATCATACACGAATTTTAATAAGTGCTTAAGTCAATGTTCCACCATGTTATTGGTTCATTTCCAGCCATATTATGCATAATTTATCCGATTGGCACACTTATTGTGATCCAGGGAAATAAAATTGCAATGACACCAATTTACCAGTTAACATTTTCACTGAACGGAGTAGGACAATGTTGGGCCATGAATATGATGTCAGGTCAAATGTAGAGCACATAGAGCCAAACATTGGGCGGCCACTTAAGTTGGGCAAAAACACCGAACTTATGGGGTAGGATTTGTAGACACTATAAAGAACGTTGAGCCACACACTGGACGAAGCGTAGAAACTTAGTGTCACAACCCTGTGTCAGGTCCTACATTTGACCCTGCGAAAATGTTGACTGGGATTGATGCAGCTTTGATGCCAAAATACTCACTAGTTAATTTTTTGAAAATTTTGACTAGATACGTGGCCTATATTTTGGGAGTGACTCACCCCAAATATGTATTAACTGTTAGTCAACCATAAAATTATCAGCCCCTTCATTTTTGAAAAACACCATTGAATAATCATAAGACAACGATTAACAATATTGCATTGAATTTCACAACTGGTCTTAAGTGTAATCATAATAATGAATCCAAATTAAAGTCAATACTTTAGTCTTCACACCGAAACGCCTGAAAAATGTCATTCCTATGAACAAATAATGACGATGTTGTTAGTAATAGACGACTATGCAAATAATAATCTAAATATATAGCTATTTAGCCAAACACTAAAAAAGCCCTACATACTAGAAAACGGAGTTATGCAATCGCTTTAATAATTATCTTCGAAGTTACTAATACTAATTACTGTACCAGAGTTAACGTTACCTTACTGATCTGATTATCATACACATCTAAATCCTCAAGAGTTTGTGAGACAGGTTCGAAATTTTCCAACTTTTTCAGGAGGTTATTCCGAAGGCACAAATGACGGACATTCGGGAAACGATCTAGTTTACTAATGCTCTTGATCCGGCAGTGCTCAAGGTCAATATCTTCATCTTCTACATTTGATATATAAAGTTCATCCATTTCAATAGCATCGACAGATTGCTTTCCATCAATGTCATTAGTAGTTTCGGTTGTGCTAGGACAAGCCATTGGGCTGATTTGCACTTAAGCGTTACCAGTAACATACACTACCAAATAACCACAACCTGCAGAGTACCGTGATGGACGTATTCAGCGCCCCGACAGGACTAAGCTTCTTCACCAGTGTGGAATTAGTCTAGATGGTTACTGACCGAATAAAAGAAGCTTTCATTTCACTGGCTCATTGTTTACGATCCCTGGACCAATAGTTCCCGTGGTTGTTGACCTGTGTACAAGTACAAGAGAGAGCGAAACGGGGAGGGTCAAAATGTGAAAGTCAATTTAGTTCTGAGTAAGTTTCCACCTTTGTCTTGAGGGTGTATCAAGCAGGCGTTTAATGGATTTAGATAAAGTATTTTGGACTGCTTCTGCACAAAGAATTTTCAAGGGTACAGCAACTCTTAGGTAGGCGCTTTTCAAAAAGGACAGTGGGATTCGACAAATTTTGATTAGTTTGTTATATTTGCTGTGTTGAGGTTCATAACTCCTTGAACAAGCATTTTTCTACCCTTTATACAGTCTAGTGACAGTTTCATAGGATGTCTGCCTAGTTTGTCGCAGAAATGTCAGCTTCTCAGCTAAGGCAATGGGTTGTGAGCTTTGCTCTCAATGGACTCACTTCTCCTGTGATTCCAGCCAGCCATCTGGTTATTATGAAGCACTACTTAATAGCCCTTTTGATGGTGATTGGTATTTTTGTCCATATCGTAGGTCCAAAAGTAAGTACCAAACAGGCCTAGAGCTAGTGAGACAGAACTCCGACCACCTTACTGCTGAGATCTCCACACAAACCAGCCTCAATCTAAAGAAGTCTCATGGTCATAAAAGATCCTCAAATTAGCAGTGAGGGAAGTGATGAATTCATCATTGTCACGGACTGTCTCCCCGTTAGCATGCCTTTGGAACAGATCCCCTCAGTGATGAATGGGAGTCTCACACCTAATAAGCGCCGAAAGAAAGGTTTGAAGAAATGTAGGTAGGTCAGTTCAGTTAAAAACGGAACATTAAGTAACGATCGTAAGTCTGACAGAGTAACGACTACTCAGCCTGATGAGAAGCCAAACCATAAGCTGAACATTGCTCCTCCTACTCAGGAGAAAAACGTTCCGAAAAAAGCAGATTTTGCTCCCACCACCTGTAACTCAGGGCGGAAGCCACCTGCATTTCACCACCAGCCTCGTTCAATCATCAGAAAACTCCCTTAGCTGGCACCTCGGGTCCCTCGGGTCACTCGCAAGAGGTTCACCAGAAACCTGAGTCTGTATTCACAAGTTGGAATAAGCTCCAAAAGACAGGCCGTAACCTCAATCTTAGATCGCTCATGCTCTTCAACGTTCAGGAAAGTGGCTCCTCCCTATTGACTGATCGTGAAGAACATGACCCTAACCAATGGAAGAGTGTTTGCAGGCTCCTAGGAACCTCTCCATGCAGTCCATCTCTTCAATGCCTAGCGCATAGTAAATTCTCCCCAAGGCTCCCCCAGACCTTCAAGAGCATCTCTTGATAGTACACGTCAGTCCGAACACATCCCTCTGAAAGGTTGTCAGCTGGTGAAACGCAAATCGTCTGATGTCAGGATTAGGCCTGATGGACCTTGGTCAGTGCGAGAACTTCTTCGCAATAGCAAGAAGATTCAATCTCAAGAGTTATGTTGCTCGGTATTGATACACGGGATTCCCGAACGTTCGGGTACGGATACTGCCGAACTTATCCACGACATAAATCGGTAGAGGTACATCGTCAGCAAACTCCAAATCGATGTGAGGGCCGAAAGAATTAATCGTCTTTCAAGGCCGGCTCACCTCTCGACTACGCGTACTCTCAGGCTACTCCAAGTAACCCTTGACTCTCCGGACATGGTTGGAACTGCCTTGGGATGCTGGTATAATGTATCTGATACACTCCCTAGAGAAATAAAGATAAGCGAGTGCAGACCCAGGGGACAAAGGCAGACTGAGAGGTGATTCAAGCGCTCACCGTTGGCCAACGCATACCTAACGGTAGAACGGCTGGACGATGGGCAAGAGTATTTATTGACCTTGTCCCAGATCGGAGGACCCGGCACCAGTTCTCAGTCAAAGAGATCAGTGGATACAGTAGCCCTAGGTTCCACCGCCTATCAAAAAACCTGTCAGAGCCGGCCATTTAAAGGCTGGCAACTCATGCCTAACTCAACCGGTTTCTGGGACCTTCGGCCCTCATACTCTTATTCTCTGTACCTTCAGCAATGTACGAGGCCTACGCTCCAAGGTACCTGAGTTAAGGTTGTTAGTGGATGAGGAAAGTCCTGGCATAATGGCTTTCTGTGGAACATGGCTATCAGAAAACATAAAAGATGAGGAAGTTCGTTTAGGACAGCTCAGCCTAATCCGAAAGGATAGACAGGAGGGTCTAGGAGGTTTTCGTTGCTCTTTACACTTGTCCTTCCCTAAAAGTCCATGAGATTCAGTCTCATAGAATTGGCATTAGAGATGTCCTCTGGTGTAGTATTAAGTGCTGCAGAGGTCCGTGTACAGTTGGAGTTTTATACCGCCCTCCTGCAGCTTACGCCACGCCAAATAAAATGTTAATACAGTCCATTAGAGGAGCCCTGGAACTGAACTTCCCACAGGTCCTCATTATGGGAGATTCTAACTTTTTTCAACTGTTTACCACAGAAAGTCCATCTACTGTCCTAAAAGACTTTAGGGAATTGTTACTGGAAAACTCCTTGACAGAACATGCTTCCCGGTTTACTCACTGGGGGCCTGACGGCAAGGCATCCCGACTAGATCATATTTTCACAAATCAGTTCGTTGGGGTAAGCAACTTGAATGTTTTCAGCCCTCTTGGCCCAAGTGACCGTGCAGTTATCTCCTTCAGAATTTCTGTATCTAGGCCACCCGTTGCCGATCAGCCTCCAGTTAGGAATTACAAGAGAACTGATTTCGAGAAGGTTCGGCAGGATCTAGAAGGTTCCGCCTGCTTAAATTTCGATGACCTACCGGATCTTGGTGCTAGATGGGGTCTGTTTAAGAATATAATCTACAGATGATAAAGACAACACTCCTCTGATCCCAAGAAGAACTAACAAGCTCTACTCCCCCTGGCTTAAGTCTAACAACTAATACGGCGTAAACGGCCGTCTTGGAATCTGTGGAGGTGCACTAATAGCCCTTTTGACTGGCTAAACTATAAAGACATCCCTAACAAATGTTCGGTAAGGACCAGAAACGATGGAATAAACCACCAGACACAACTTCGTAGAACCATGGAGGGGAATCATGGGATACTGTACTCGTTGATGAGACAGAAGAATAACAGTTCACTAAGCTTACACGACCTCATTAGTTTGGAGATTCTCTATTCCAACTCCTAAGTTGCAAACCTACTAGCTCATGAGTTCCAAAACAACTGCCATTTAGGAGGCAAAACCCCGCCTCTGTCGGACACCCCTATCACAGGGGACTAAATCACATACAGTTTAAACCCTCTGTAATTGTGGAAACATTAAGGAGACTGAACCCAAATAGGTCTCCAGGATCGGTGGTATTCACCCAAGAGCACTCAATGAGTGCGCTGAAGCTCTATGTGCCCCACTGGCAAACCTCTCAAATGCTTGTTTCTGGAAGGCAGGTCACCCTCTGATTGGAAACGGGTAGCTGTCGTCCCAATTTATGAAGGCGGAAACAAACTACTAGACTCCAACTACAGATGGATCTCCCTGATCTCTTCAGTTACGAAGGTTATGGAGAGAGTCATAAGTGACTCACTACGTGATCACTTGCTTCAGAAATCAATCCTAAACGACTGTCAGCACGGCTTTCTACCAGGAAGGTCATGTAACACCAACCTGTTGATAGCTTGGAATAGCCGGACACTCTCTGTCGAGAAGAGAAGGCCTATACACATTGGTTTACTTGACTTTTCTAAGACCTTTGACAGGGTAAATCATGGTATCCTTTGTAAGAAACTCCAGCTCACGGGCGTACACGGAAAATTATTAATCCGGCTTAGAGATTATCTGCACACCAGGGTGCAGTCAGAGTCGGCTCCTCTCTACCTGGTTGGTTCCCGATGGTGAGTGGCGTGCCTCAGGGTTCCATACTGGGCCCACTACTGTTTCTTGCCTTTGTCAATGACCTATCAGGGGACCTAAATTCACAATCACTATTATATGCTGATGATCTGAAGATCTGGAGGGAAATACAGGAACCGACGGATATTTTGGCCTTCCAGGAGGACCTTACGAAAATCCTTAACCAGACTACAGAAACCTGCTTCCTCTCAAGTCGAAGAAGTGTCGAATTACGGTAGTTGACAAACATAGGGCAGTCCCAGTTCTTACTCTCTAGGTGAAATAAATATCTGCCATCCTAACATGGAACAGATCCGGGAGTTACACTAAATGATACACTAGGAGCCTCTGTTCACTGTCGCCTTGCAGCCAATAGGGCTTATGGAATCCTGGGGTTTCTCTCGCGAACCCCAGGGTATCTAACTCCTTCTCTTTTCACCACAGTGCATGCTCTGTGCACTCGTCCTCATTTGGAGAAAAACTCGCTTGTAATGTCCCCATACCTTAAAAAGGACATTGCCGTCGTAGAACGGGTACAGAGAAGAGCTACAAAGAAAGTGATTGGGTTGCGGCACAAACCGTACCCAGACTGCTTAGTTGCTCTTCGGCTGCACTGAGTACAACACCGGAGGACCAGAGGGGACATGATCATGATGTACCACATCGCCCATAATCCCCTCCATCCCAACAGATCTCTTCTAAGCTTAAGTCGGAAACGCGACCTGGGGGTCACCCGTTAAGAATGGAGCATGAGAGAGCACGTACAAAGATCCGTGCTAACTCATTTGCAGTTAGGGTCTGCAAACTGTGAAATTCCCTCCCTTCAGCAGCTGTTACGGCCCCATCCCCTGATACCTTTAAAAGGAGGCTAGACGCACACCGCGAGTCCTACGGTACCAATGGGCTACACTCCAGAAGCTTTCCCCAGATCAGATGAGGTAATACTAACTTAAGACCAGATTAATTAATCAACCGTACCCCTATCCTTTCAGGTTTTTCAGAACAGGGAAGATAATTGTGACCATTCCAAACTCAGAACGTATTCCAATAAGACA